TTTTGTTTTTTGTCTCTTAATCAAATAAAAATAATAATTTTTATATTGTAACAAGTTAACAAATCTACATAGTATGACAATCATACGAGTCTAAGTATTTTTAAATTTAATTGAAAAATTACTTTGATTAAAAATACGTCATCAAGTTAATTAATCCAAATTAATATACCTATCTTGTTCACGTAAAAACATTTCAACCAATATATCACATTAATATTTCAACAACAATTGATCATCACTACTATACACATTTCATCACAAACATCATTAACACAAATCAAAATAGCCAACATAGTAAAAGAAAATACTTATATTCCCTTGTTTAGAGTTGAGTTACTAAGTCAATTAAACTCTAAGAACTATAACTCTCACAGTACCACTCATATTAATTAACAAGTTAAATATACCCAAAAGCTCCTAGTAAAAAAAATATTTATTTTGAACCTTCTTGCACCGCGTGTGTAATGTCCTTCTAACATATGCATACAAAAAGTCTTGATTAAAAAAAATAGAAATAAACTTATTCAAAATAATATTTTGATCGGTGAAGATTATAATACTTTATATCATATTTGTATTTTTCACTTTGATTTTTAAACATATAAGCAAATCACTCATAATATTAGAGACAATGAAAAAAAAATTCTAACGCGATGATAACTTTATATAAAATAAAACTTAATTAACTTATTTTTTTTAGTTTGAACTTTTAAATAATAAAGTAATAGTTTTATTTATAAAACTATTTCTCACTTATATACTTTTTTAACTTTTTAGGTAATGATAATATATGATATCTATATTATTTTTTATATTTACTGATAATTAAAATATTTTATTTAAATAAAAGATATTCAATCAATTTAAATTGTTTTATGAAGCACAACATTTTTAAAAAATAACATAATTTAAAATAATATCAATTCAAATTCTACTTATTTGAATATATAAAAAATATCGAGCAAAACTCACATATAACTCATTTCCAACTTATACTAACTACTTATCAAATTATCAAATGGAAATTATTTTAGGTCCTACCATTATGATTAACATATTGGTTTTCATGGACGGTATGTTTTTTTATTGTGATTAAAACTATGTACATTAATTATAACAATAAAGATATTTTTTAGTTGAATCAATTTGATAGATTATATATATATATATATATATATATATATAAAAGCATGCAATTATTTCATCGAGAAGTGAATATGGTTCATTGTAGGAATTGAGGGTCATGAAATGATAGTCACGAAAGAAGATGAATTGAAGCAAGAATCATAGAAATAACATAAAGAAGATAATAACTCGTTTCCTTTTATCATGATTTTTACATATGTAATTATTCCCTTCTTCTTTTAATGATTTCAATTTCAAAAAAGCAAATTAACGTTCGAACTTCGAAAATTCCCCTACTTATAACTTTCATCCTCCTCTAGTTAACTTCAAAATGATAATCACTCACATCATGGATTATGGAAGAAGTAGAGTTTCACAGTTATAGTTGAAACACACAACTGTTTAACTTTGGACCGTTTAATTTAATTATAAATTAATATGAATATCTTACATGGTACGTAAGCCTTAATATTTAATACGTAACTAAAACTAACTTAAATACGTATAGTTTACTCATATTTAACAGTTTAAAATTGCTGTTATCAAAATAAAATTATCCTTGTCCAACGTTAGATAAACAACAAACATTGAACACGATCGAGCTCTCATTGAGTAGAGTTGGAAGAAAACGACTGTATAGACATGGGCGAAAAAATTGCGAAGTAACTAATTTCAATTGCATTTGATCATAATTGACTAAAAAGGTAAAAAAAACATAAGAAAAAAGAAAATACGGTGTTCTGATATAACAATAAGGACACGCAAAAATAAATAACTAAAGAAAGTAAAATGTCTTTTTTATGAAATGTATGTGAACACTTGCAAAACTACTTTTAACTAAAAGTTTTAAAATAAATATATGTGAATTTTGTTATAAAATATTGAAAAACCTAAAATCTACCATTTACTTTTGTTTCGGATAGTGAGGTAAAAAACTACTTCATCACTCTTTTTACTAGTCTTTATACGTTATCTTCTATCTCTCTTATCGTTGTTATCAATTTTCTTCGTTTAATCCTCAAGTTGAACCATAGTGTACTTGTCAAAGACACTTTGACGCTCAAACCAATTAATGAATATAATCGATTATTAAAGTATAGTTATTAAAATTGTGAGTGTTATCTTTTCCTCGACCACGAGAAGGCTTTTCCTCTTCTCGATTTGAGATTGACTATTCTCCTCTGTTGTAGCCACCTTAGGTTAGTTGTGTTGTCCTCCATTATCGTGGCAGCGCTTTGCAACTTACTCATTTTTCTTCAATCCTCCTTTTTTTGTTATTTATTCTCTTATTGGTTGTGTAGGTAACTAGTATGAAACTTTGTGGTAGGAGACGTAGAGAAGATGTGAGATCAATTGTCTTGTGTGTGTTGAAATACATGAAACACTATAGGAGGTGTTTGAGTAGTGTTTCAAATACTTTTCGCAAAAACAACGCTTAACAATTTTTTCAAGTGTTAAATAAACTATACAGTAGTTGTTAGACGATTGTGATTTTAAGTAAGTGTATAGGAAAATGTTTTAAATAGGAAAAACAATAACACAAGTAGTTTTACACTGGTTCACTCAACTTAAGATACATTGAATCTCCCATAAGAACCCTTAAAGGGTTTTATTAATCTTATCAAATATTAGAAACGAATACAAACACTTTTGGTATACACCGAGTATTATCAATCACTCTTGGTTCTCCTAGTCAATCTTGACTAGTTCGAGTTTAACCATTCTTGGTATACAATTCTCAAATCCTTTTGCTTATAGACAGTTGTCTAGAACATTTGACTCAACCGAGCTAAACAATATAAGTATTTTAATTCATTTTTGAATATCCAAGCATAATCAATGTTTGATTACAAGTGCAAATTTGAGTAACTCTGAGAGAGAGGATAAATACAATACAACACAATCTTGTGACTTGATAGAATTTCTTTTGTTCCAAGAACAGACTTAGACAATGTAAGCTTTCAGAGATAATAACATCGTAATGATACAATGTTAGAAAAAAGTTCTTCTATTCTGTTGTGAGTCCTCCTTTTATAGATTTCTTCGAGAGATGATTGTTACTCGGAGAGAGTTAACCTTTTTTAGAGTAAGTGGCTTCCCATATGAAGATATGTACTTTTCTACGCCTTGGGAAGTCATAACGCTTTAGGAAACATTTCAGGAATGTCTTCCTATTTCACAACGTCTTTGTAATTCAAGTGTAGTGCTTTTGAGTAAATCTTGGTATTGTCAATATCTACAAAGATAAAGAGAGAAAAAGTAAAGCAAACAGAGTGTTGTACGTTCATGCATTTAATGTTTTATACTTTGATAAACTATTGAGGCATGATTTATAATATAAGCTTTTAGCGTCTAAGATATTTCAAAGTAGTTTATAATATATATATATATATATATATATATATATATATATATATTCTGCACAAAACATTCCTTCAATTTTTTCTCAAAGTTAGCTTAGGTTATTCTTTCAACTTAGTTAAGATTCTTCCTTGTCCATGCTCCAAACCGTCTGGGTGTACCTGTCAAAGACACTTTGACGCTGAAGTTATTAAATCAATCCGATCGAATCACAATAAATTCTTAAATTCGTAATAAATATAATCATCTATCTTTTTATCTTTGACCTCTATTTATAGGTTTCAAGATAGGCTTGTGATTAGTGGAATCCTAATCACAACCCAATTATAGTCCAATTTCCAATAAATAACTCTTTCAAGTAATCTTGATTAGGGGCAATGTTTATGGGTTTTTATTGCTAGAGACCATTCAACCTTTCGATCTCCCATTTCCATGATCGTGCGGTCATCTAATAAATCGTTTATTAACGATCTTAATTGAATGATACGTGATGATATTGACCATAAAATGTTTGGACTGGGCATCCCTTCTCGTGGTCTTATACGACTGGCTACTCTATATGTTCGTATAGCCATACACTACACAAATGTTTGTTTTCTTGTAAATGATATTATAACATTCAAGTTAGTAAGTGAATAGTATAATATAATTGTAATGTAAATTTATGAGACTGAATATGAATTGAATTGAGTCTCTTCATACAAGTATTCTTATTATAATATTAAGTTGTAAAATATAGATGTAATGAGATATCACAATATATCATAAAAAAAACAAAATTATTAAGTATTATCTTTAAATAGTAATAAACCGATAACTTATTGAGATCATATCTTATTAAGCAATTTTATGTTAATCTCTTATGCTACCGGTTTATCTCTAATATAAAAATACTATAAGAACTACATTTTTTTGTAACTTTTATTTGTATATCAAATTTATACTACTTAAATATTTCTCAAAGTCAAGTCTAAAATCTAAGACTTCTTTTGCTATACGACATAGCATAATGCAATAAAAATTTAGAAAAATTTATGGATTTTATCCTTAACACTACAAATGACATAAGATATAATTATTTAACAAAAAAGAGAAGGGAACACGTTAATGTTGTTGTATGGAATCATTACCAAAAGTCAAAAAGGTAGCATCGAAGACACTATACACGCGTCAGCAAGACAAACTCGGCTGTCTTCCATTCGTCGTTTCACTTTAGACCACGTGTCGTGCATTCATTAGGCAATCAAACATCATCATAATAACAATAAAAGAATATAATAATAATAAATATGAATAAGAAGAATACAAGGTATACATTAACATTAACATTGTTTTTGTATGGTTGATGGGTTTAGGGCTTACTCCCAGAAACACTCCAACCCCACCCTTCTCACTGTACTGAAGAAGGACACAGAAGGAAGCAGCATAAAGCGATGGAGAGAGAGAGAGAGATAACACATTACCTCACCACACTAATACTATTGCTATTACTAACATTAAACAGAGAAAGAGAGAGAGAATTTCATTTCATTTCATTTCAATCTGAATAATAAGTGAATATCTCTCGTAGTGTCGTACACCATACACCACACGCATACATTTGTACACAGACATGGGACCATTTCCCTGCGTTTAAATTTTGATCTTTTTCGTGGACGACAGGATCCGACTCTGCCGCTTAACTCTCTTCCCTCTCTATATCATCCTTTCTCCTTCACCTTTTATCTCTCTCAATCTTTTTCTTCTTTCTTTCTAACCTTCTCATATGGAAATGGAGGACCATCATCATCATCATCATCAACACCATGAACAGCAGCAGCAGCAGCAGCAGCAGTATGCCATCACTGATCTCAGACAACTCATGAACGGCCCGAGGTCCACCCATTTCCCCTCCATGCCGCCGCAGCCCAAGGCGGAGCTGTTCCCCGGCGGCCACCCCAACCTGGCCGCCTCGCAGCACTTCGAGATGATGATGTTTGGTCGTCAAGTGGCCGACATAATGCCTCGGTGTCTTCATGACTTTGCATCTACCGATTCCGCCACGAATAATAACAACACGAGCATCGCTGCTGCCACTCCCACCACCACCACTAGTGCCTCCACTCCTCCGCTTAGTTGCTTAGAGGGTGAGACCGCAGGATGCATCGGTGGAGATGCCTCCACTGGAAGATGGCCCAGACAAGAGACACTCACTCTTCTTGAGATCAGATCTCGCCTCGACTCTAAATTCAAAGAGGCTAATCAAAAGGGTCCCCTATGGGATGAAGTTTCTAGGTAGGTACCATTTTTATTTTCTTCTGTTTCAAAACAGTACTCCCTCGCTTCTCTTTTCAACCTTTTTTTTTCCTCAACTTGAACATCTCAAAATCATAATTCTTTGTTTGTTTGTTTCTTTGGGATTGAAAATTAAAATAATGAAAACAAATAAAAGCAGTGGACAAAATATCTGTGTAACTACTTGACGGTTTCCTATTAACATGACTGCACTTAATCGGTTTTAATTGGGTTACTAGTGTTGACACTACTTTCTGGAAACTCTCAGAGAAATATAATATGCCACTAATTGTTTGAGGTGACCATACTATATACAACTCAATTTTCGATTATTGATCGTGTACTTCGAAGTTCTTTGAGTTCATATACCAAGATTAGTACGTCTCTACCACTGTCCCTTTTCCCTTTTAGAAATTTCCTATCCTCTTTTAAGTGCAAGTCATAGCCTACCGTTTAATACTAGTTTTTCCCTACGCAAAATTCATTCAACTTTCAGAAGCTTTTGGAGCTCCCTATTTTAATTCTAGCTCTTATCTCGTGGGATGACATCAACCGCAGGCTCTTCGTTCAATGAATCATATTTCTATACCCATTCCAATGCTCGTTTGCTAAAACTAGGTTGCTATAATATCATAGCGAACGTCACTGCATGACCTTCGTTAGCTTTTTATTGTTATTATTATTATTATTATTATTATTATTATCATGAACGCTCACATCATTCCCAGCTCAGACTAGGGTTCCATGTTCCATCACCTACATTGAGCTCAGTTTGGCCTTTTTGTTTCTTGTGTTAATGTTGAAGGATCATGTCTGAAGAACATGGATATCAAAGGAGCGGGAAGAAGTGCCGGGAGAAGTTTGAGAACCTCTACAAATATTACAAGAAGACAAAGGAGGGAAAAGCTGGAAGACAGGATGGGAAACATTACAGGTTCTTTCGTCAACTTGAAGCCTTATATGGTGAAAACAGTAACCAAACCTCGGTACCAGAAACCAATTTTGGTAGTGGCAGCCTTCGTTTCCACTCAAACAGCCACAACCCTTCTCAAACAAATCAAGAAATGTTTCACTCCCAGAAGCATTGCGATAGCCTAAGTCTCACCAACACCACTGATTTGGACACGTCATCATCGGATGACAACGATCAGAATAGCACTGGGGGACTCAAGGACAACGACTCCACGGAGAAGAGGAGAAAGAGGTTGAGCGGAAGAAGCTGGAAGGTGAAGATAAAAGACTTCATTGACTCACAGATGAGGAAGCTGGTGGACAAGCAAGAGGAGTGGTTGGAAAAACTCACGAAGACACTGGAACAGAAAGAAAAGGAGAGGGTGCTAAGAGAAGAAGAGTGGAGGAGACAAGAAGCTGTAAGGTTGGAGAGGGAACACAAATTTTGGGCTAAAGAGAGAGCATGGATTGAAGCCAGGGATGCTGCTTTAATGGAGGCTTTACAAAAACTAACAGGAAATGAGATGATAAAGAGTACTCAATCTCCTGAGGGTGTAATGGTAACTGGAATTCATAACCACAGTGAAAACCTGAATGAAGATGGGAGTGAAATACTAAATAGTACCACTGCCAGAGGTGCTGAAAGCTGGCCAGAATCTGAGATTACTAGGCTTCAGCAGTTGAGAGCTGAGATGGAGACAAGGTATATACAAAGTGGGTGTTCAGAAGAGTTTATGTGGGAGGAAATAGCAACCAAAATGGCTTGTTTTGGTTACGAAAGGAGTGCTTTAGTGTTCAAAGAGAAATGGGAAAGTACCAGCAACTACGCAAGGAATGCTAAAGATGGAAACAAGAAGCGCAAGGAAGACTCTAGAGGTTGTTTCTACTTCGATAACAGCGAACAGTCTTCCCTTTATAACCAAGGAGGAGCCTATTGTGATATTAATGATCAAAGGCACGAGAGGAGGCTGCAAAATGATGGTTCTTCGCCTTCAAATTCAAATGTTGGAAATGCAGTTGCTGGTGATCACTGCTTTCCCTTCTTGATGACTGAGAGTGCAAATTTGTGGGAGAACTATAGCTTAAAGGTTAGTAAAGCAAGTCAAAACCAGTGATGAGATGGAAATAAGGTTGACACTTATAAGAGGCACGAAAATTTCATAGCCATTTATCTGAGAGACGATCTCCCGTTATGTATAGGGCACCGATGATGATAAAGTGGTCAATCTTATTATATTTATGGGAATCAAGGTGAAAAATAATGTGTTCGAATCACGTACTTAAGTTTAATGAGGGAGACTAGACAATGACAAATATCACTGAATTATTGGGGTATGAATTTGACACTAGTTCAGGTGAGTTTCTCTAGAAGCAGGTTTCTTTTATGCGTGCAAATGGAGTTTGCAATTGTATTACTTCATATGTTGCATCTTCCAATGATGTTTATATCATCACTTGGTCACCCTCTTTCTCTCCTCCTACACCCATCTTGCCTTTTTTTTAGTAATTTTTGGATATTTTATCTGTGCGGGCCTTTTCTGTCTGTGTACTGAAGACTGTAATTAAATTTCTTTGGTTTTATTTATTAGTCAATATTTTTATGAAGGAGGTGAAAGTGATGTATTGATGGATATTGTTTAAGCATGGAATATTAATTGTTTCAAGCATAAGAAAAAGCCTGATTTTCTTTGAGAAGGTATCTTTTGAATTAAAGGACCAGCATTTCTGCTGGTTCAGACTAGGGGACTAAACCATCAAACTCTTATAGGCTGTTTTTTTCTTGTTTTCTTTTTCACTTTACTTTGCAGATCAATGAACTCAAACTTATTTATAAATAATTTAATATAATTTGATTAGCCAATGAATACTTAAATAAGAAACCTTTTAGAGTTGTCACTGAGCTAGGTTATGTTGCAGCCTCGCGTGCGCACTACTATTGGGGCACATTAAACTAAAGAAAGTGTTTCATATTTGTATAATCGAATCTCTAAAAGATTATAAAAATAAAATGCATTATTATGCCTAGAAAAAAATGATTTTTTTGCATCGACCATCATAAATTTTAAATCTATAACGTCTTCAAACAATCACAACACAACTTTTCACAACTACACTGATCCTAGAGATTCCAAAAAAGCATTTCATAACAGCAATGTTTTCTGTTGCTTGGCCTACTTAACCACAACGAATCTAAACCCCAACCCTATCAAACCTTTACTACTTCAGCTGGCAAAAGCGGTGGCTGATTGCAAATGAAACTTCTCCATTGCACGCGGTCTAAAGCTATATTTTGTGTTAAAGGTGAAGGATGCAGAAACGTTAAGCTAATATCAATATATATATATATATAATAATATATATATATATATATTACAACTTGTAGTAGAACATCTTTGTACTATTTAGCTTGATAGGTCACTAACGTGACCATACTATTGGCTGGGTTGTACAGAAGGATCAATAAATGTTATCCGGCAAGTAACTGCACGGGAATTCTCTATAGCCATTCAGCTCTCAGTTTTATTGTGTGGTCCTGGTTGGTTGTGATATGGAGCAAGAGAGAAGCTAAATCCTTGACAACAGTGCATTGACCTCTGTTGTGGTATTTTCTTCCTCTTTTTGCATGAGAAATCAATTATAAATACATAACATATAACAAGTTGACATAGAACTCAGCAGGCTCCATTCAAAATCCAATTAAGCTTCCGTTTAAGCATGCTTAATGGGTTACATTAATTCCTACATCATTTGCAGACTTAGTAAGGCAGTGCTGCCATTTTTACTGAAGTAGTAATCATATATATGAAAAAAGAAGGGATTTTTAAGATAATGTGTACTAGAATTGACTTTTGGGGAGTTTCCTTGAATAATTGAAGAATAAGGGGTAGCTTAGGTTGAGAGATGTGGAAGGCATTGAGTTTAGACCTCTGATATATATAATAAAGATAAAAACCCTACCTTGCGAGTTGCGTGTACTGGCCCTGGCTTGGCGTATGCCATTGGAAGGTGAATCGAGCATTAATACATCATAAAGTGAGGAAAGTGAAATAGGCCACAGCCCAAAATGAAATTATTTATTTCATACTTTTTGTAGGATAGGGAGTGACAGTAGCATGACATGTACACAGGGTCTTATCTGCAGTGTAAGTATTTTGTTGCATTGTGAGGGTATGTAGTAGTGGCACTACTATCGCTACTACTACACAGATACATACATATGCATAAGCATTACATAAATATTACTGATACATCTTACGCTCCTGGGCAGACAGTATCCGTACCTGGGAAAGAGTAAAGAAGTTTCCTGCTAAAGGAAAACCAAATGCAAGGGTTGGGGAGACATATTGGCAGTCCTTATCATAACACAACACAACTTTCGTTTCTCTCTTCAACCTTCTTCCTTGCTTTGTCTTCACGCTTATTTAGAGGCAGTTAAGTAATTGGGTGGTCAAAGGAGCAAAACCGCATCACCTGTACAATTATGGAAACATGATAGCAAATTAAAGTGTTTATATAAATATAACAATGTGCTTTTTCTCTGATGCCCCTGACGTGACCACTTACTCAGCTGAACCCTGCACCTCAAGAAAAACTAAAAAAAAAAAAAAAAAAAAAGTTTATGTACTGGTCCAGAATCAAGACAGCAAGTTCTGGCTTGGGGTGCTGCTTTTAATTATTTAGGACTGTAAAAGGTAAGCTTTATCGATCTCACCCTTAGTTAAAAATACGCAATCAGGTTCTGACTTCTCAATGGCAGCGAGAGGGAAATGCTTCCTCACATACATTGGTGTCTATATAAAGTTCATTGGTAGGATAGGCCAAATATAACCACCCTATCGTAGCCACTACAATTCATAACTCTTTCCCCGATCAAGACTTAGCATTTTCCCATTTCCCTTTTTTTTAATAGGGTTCGAGAGGGTGCATGGTTGAGTGAACATCTGGTAATACCTAATCAATGTCCATCTCCTTTCCATTTCCAAAAATGGGATTGTTTAGGGTGGATAAAGAAGAGAGTTAAGGAAGAAAAGAGCAAAAGTTATATATGTCACAACTAAGTATGGTTAAGAAAAGTAGATCGAATAATGGGGTCAAGATGAATTCACAGACAAACTCTCTCTATATAAATAACTTTTCCTCATACTCTGTTCATTTTTTTTTTATCAAACTCGTCATGCACTGACTAAACTTTTGAGACCAAACCTCTTTGCTTCACCATTTTTTTGGTTCAGGCTCCTTTAATTTTTATTTTGGGGAGTTGATCCTGCACCACCACCAACCGTTCCCTGCATCATCCCATACCTAATTTGCCCTTCTGTAAAATAGATGTCAACATCTATTTCACCTTGAACGGATGTTGACATCCATTTACATATTTTATATTTTAGTTTATTATTTTTATTTTAAAAAAAAACTTCAACGGATGTGGCCATCCGTTTAATAAATTTTTAAAAAGTATTTTATTTATTATTTAAATAATAATATATAAATTAAATTAATAATAATTATTTTATTAAATAAAATAAAATTAATTTATAAATAATTAAGTAATAATTTTAAAAAAATTAAATAATATTTATATATTAATTTAAAATA